CTGTTCTCATAGACTTTAAGGCCAGAAGGGACCATCATGATCATCTAGTCTGACCTCCTGCACATTGCAGGCAACAAAACCTCACCCACCCACTCTCCTGTAATAGACCTATGTTCTGTATGTATGTATGTTCTGATCAGTGTGTGGCTTGGTAAGATATAGACTCTGCTGTTAGTCATTTGTAAAACCCTTTTGTCACAAATTTGAGTCCAGAGGGACCCTAAGGTTTGTGAAAGTTTGGACCTGTTTGGGTTGGTTTAGTTCCATCTCTAATTAGGAATAAATGTTGTCATTTTAGTTAATATGTCAAATCTGACAAACAGGATTTTTTCTTTCTGTCTTTAAATTACACAAAATGACCAGATCCTCAGCTAGTGTAAATTGTGACAGCTCCACTTACTTCAATTGAGCTATGGTAATTTACGAAAGCTGATGATCTGGCTAAAATGTTTATTGTAAGGGAGGGATTAAGACTTAATGAGGGTCTGACAGATCAGTCTCTGGTATTGTATATGAAAGATATTACAGAAGCTGCCCAGGGTCTAGTTTATCCTCCATCTTTTTACTATTGATGCAGATTTATTAATATTTGTAACTCAAAGTATAAGAAGAATATCATTTTACTTTTCCTTTGTTATAGAAACAGCTGAAGTGGAGAGCGCGAGGCAATCTTTTCTCAAACGTAACTGATTATGCAGCCAGGGCCATGTAAAAAATAGAAGCACCTTTCCTAGAACATAACTAGTTACCAATTGATGCAGGAGCAGGATTAAACACAAGACTGAAAAAGCATGATAAAGCATTGTCGTATTCACTATGAGGTGCTAACATGGTACTCAAGGATTAGAATATTTGTTCTAGGACTACAACCAAGAATTCTCCAGCTAATTTTAGAAGTTTATACCATGTCTTGATTTGCACTGAAGATTGCTTTGAATAAGATAATTCCTTCATTACAGTGGTTCAATATTCTATTCTAACTTCGTTTCAAAGTGTCAAGCTCTTGTTTTGATAACTAGTGTCCTCACCTCCATGACTCTTGGCAATTTGTCTGACCTTGGATCTGCGTAGATGTTTTCCCTCTCTCCTGTGCATCTGAATGTCTTAATGGCATTATCCCTTTTTTATGTTGATCTTTACAAGACGTTGACTAAACATACACTCTGTGTTGGATGACAGAAAAATTCACATTATTTCACCAAAATGTACTAAATGAGTATTAAAGGCCAGATTCTACCACCTTTACTCACACTAAGTGGCACCTTACGCCACAATTAGTTCCACTGGTTTCAACTGGGCTACCTGTGGAGTAAGATATTACTCAATATGGAGTAAGGGTGGCAGAATCTGGTTGTAAATCAGAATTTCATAGTTTTTAAGGGGATTATGATAATCTAATCTGATCTAATCTCCTTGTCATTGACACGATTTCTTTATAATTTACCTAAAGGCTATCATGAATAATTGGTCAGACTTTTACAAGGGATAGTAGGAGGGACCTTTATTAAATTCTGTGTTGTGGCTGTCCCAACAAGGCTTTCATTTATACGCCCAACCTACAGTCTGAAGGATCTCAAAGTACTTTATAAGGAAAATCATATACAAATGATATTTAGGGATCACTACTAAAATACCTGTGGTGGAAGACAGCAATTTTTTAACAGTACACAACAATACTACACATTAGCTTTAGGAAAGGATGTGAAGAATGCTGTATTCAATTAAAATACAGGGGGAATATTTGGAAGGTAGATAGAATGTAGTTACATAAAGTTACATGCTAGCAAGTACGGATTATATTTTTGCTCTTACAATGCCTCAGAAGGTCAAGACCTCGCTTATATCTCAACTGAAAGACAGTACTTTCAGCCACACAGTATGCCCCTTAAAAATATACTGGAGCATTGGTTCATTATTGAATCAAAGGAAAAAGTGCTACATCCTGAGTCATGCAGCACCACTTCAAACAGTATATAAGTGCTTTGGAGGTCTCCCATCCCAGTACTGAGCAGGTCCCACTCTGTTTAGCTTGTGAGATTAGAAAAGATTCCAACACAAGGCAGTATGGCTGAAGGCCAAAGAGTCAATTATTAATTTCCTTACATTTTCCTACTTTTGATCAAGAAATATATAAAATGTAACAACAACTGGAATTACAAAAAAACTGCAGAATTTTCTCATGGTTAAAACTGAATAAAATGTCTGTCTTACCTTTTTATGTCTGTTACTCCTGTTGGGATACTTCCCTATCCGCATTTTTTAAAAATCCTTAAAGTTAGATAGATTAGTTAACAAACCAATGGAGGGGGAGGGGAAAAAAGAAAAGAAACCAGAGTATAGCCAACCTTTTTTAATTAGAGTATATTGTACTTCCAAACTGGATACACTAGAAATTGGCAATGCAACATAAGATGCAAAGGAATATACCAGTTACTGTCAAAATGACCCTGTACAGCCTTATAATGCAAAAAGCTTTATACAATACAAATTTTTATTAATGTACACAAACCTTGACAGTGTGATATTTGAACATAATACAAGTAAAAAAGGACAGGAGAAAGAAAGTGCTGAGAACTTTAACTGAATTACTGGATGGAAAACCAAGTCAACCTTCATTTAAGAATGCATAGTGAAAACGGCTATGAAATCAGCTTTGGGGTGGTGGACATTTACCAGAACTTTTAGTCTTTAACAGGTCAGAGATATCTATGGAGAACATTCCTTTCCTTAGCTTTGAACTGCAAACCAATTATTGTATATGCCAGGGCTCTGATAAATACTGTATATTTTTCTTAACAAAAATAAAACACCTCCAAATACATCTTTTCTCCCTCACCAGAAAGAAGTAAATGTTTTTTTCCAAAGTGCTAAACAAAGTTGCTTAGTTATATCAAACGTTATTGTCATTCAAATACAGGTTTGGCAGAAAACTTAAACACATGGGATTAATATGCTGACAGCTTCATAACACTCATTCCTGGGAGTTCCAGCCTTATTATAGTGCAATTTGGTTTACAGAAAATATTCATTAAACATTCCTACTTCTTTGCTCTTGTACATCTGTAGTTTATTCGCTGATGCACATGTGGGCTTTTTCCTTTTTTTTAAAGTGTCTGCTCTATTGTAGTAGGGTCAGCCAGAAACACTGTGAATGTATTTTTGTAACAGTTGTATTAACTGAAATGCAGATTGCATAATTCAGGGGGTAAAGAAACTCACCTTTTAACAGTTCTTATTCTGAATGAGTTATTAATGGAGAGCCCTACTCAGCACACTCTATTTTTGTCAATACTCTCAAAGAAGTCAAAGAGGGTTTTGCTGGCGTAGGTGCAATAATATGATAAACAGGGCCTGAATTGTTTGCCTTGCCTATTAATAGATTTAGACAGAAATTTAGAACAGATGACTTATATTAATAGCTTAGCTAGAATAGCCACATGCTCACAGGACCAAAAATATCTGATGGAACTTAAACAATTAGGTGGGAAATACTTTGTCATTCTTACTTTACTTTTAAATTGGTATATTACAGTCTGCTAAAATGTTAGGTTCTCCTCATTCTGTGTTTTCTCATTGCAGACAGCTTCCAATATTTTAACATGTATTAAAAGGTGTGGAAACTTACAAATGAGCTTAATGACTCAGGAAAGCATTTCACCATATGCTTAACTTTAAGTACAACAGAACTTAAGAATATGTTTAAAGTTAAATATATGACTAAGAGCCTTCCCTGAACAAGGAAGCTTTCCTGAATTGGGGCCTCATTTTGGTACAGTCCTAGACAGCAGGCCTGATTCAGAGCCACTGAAGTTGTTAGGCGTCTCCCCACTGACTTCAAGGAGATTTGGATTAGACCCTTAACCGTGTGTGAGAGAGGATGCTTTCAGATAGGGAAGATGTGGGGGTAGAAAATTAAATCTGATTAGGGCCACTTCTTTTAAAACTTGATTGGGGGAAACCCTGAAGAAAGCTAGTGAGATCTCTAAACACATGATGAAACAAAGATCTAGACCAAATGCCAATACCATGGAAAACAATAACACAATAGGAAAGGATTCTTGTACATCAACTGATTTTAAGAGAGAAATAATTTTTAAAGGTTCAATACTTTATACTTCAAATTTCAATAGAAAGAATCTTTTACTCCTGACCTTTCTGTCTGTTTTGCACTGGAAACTGTTATCTTAAGAAATAGAGATCTATTAACATGCAGCCAAAGTTTTTTCTTCTTTCTTTAAGATCACTGTTTGCTTTTTAAGATTAACAAAGGTTATACAACCAATCCACTTTTGCTTCTTACTGCAATAAAGTGCTACATATAAACTTGTCATTTTAATGACCACAAAGTAAGAGCATTAAATAAGTATAAAGTTAGCCTTCTAGCAGTGTACACTCTATCAGCCATTAACAAAAAGGAATAAAATAGTACTAATAACATGGAAGATAATATTGATAGGACCATGTAATTTGCAGATACAACCAAAAAGTTGAGGGTATAAAAAGAGAACTGTATGATTAAACAGCACCTTTTCATATCTTTCTCTTTCAAAGAAGTTGCAGGTACCTTTTCAAACATACAATCTGATATTACTTTATCCTGTAAAAGAAACGTTTTCTTCTTTTTTTTTTTTTTGCAAGTGAGGAACAAACTAGTGCAAGACTAAAGCACTGTGCAAAACTGCCTTTTTTTTAGTCTGAGCATTTATACCCAGAATTTATCCATATCCTTTTTTTTTAAATCCCCTTTGCTGGATTTAACCACCATAGAATTCTAGTTATACAAGTTGTTCCTGCAAACTAAAGGTAACCACTGCATTAATACAGTATAGATATATCTATATATATATGCCCTTTTAAAACAAAAGATGTATACTATGGGCCAGATTCTGATCTTAGTTACACCAGCGTAACAGTAAAGGATCTGGCCCTGTGAATGTGTGTATATATAATGCACACACTACAGGCATGTGTATGTATATATACACACACACACACACACTTCAATTTCACACACTCATCTTACAGTGCTGAAAGTAATTTCTTCCAGATCTGTTCCACCTTAATCCTCAAATCTTTACAACTGATGATCTGAGGACAAGGCACCAAACACACTATAGGAAACTGCAAACAGCACTGAGCCAATATACCAATCCTCACTGAACCAAGCATTGCTCTTCTCAACAATCACAGAGTTACGAAATTCTAAAATGAAAAGGAGGGTTGGGGGAGGCAGAAGGAAGGAGGAAAGTAAATGAAAAGGGAATTTTTTAAAAATAATTATTAAATAAGCCAATACAAAGGATGTGCAAAAGCAACGTCATGGCACACTACAGACAGGCTCTCGTTCACACATTCGCACTCACACACAAACCAAAAATAAAACGCATCAATATGTAATCTTACAAGTGCTGATTGCCATTAAGGACACTCTTGTTCAGCTTAACAAGACAAAATTGTTTCTTAGATAAGAGTACTGGGAACATGCCTCTGAAGGTAGAAGTATGCAGTAGGTTCACCTCTCTGAAGATTTAATAAAGCAGCTTTCAGGTCAATGCAATAAGTATACACACAGAGCCATTTTCTAAATCTTACTAATGATATATAGTACAAGTGTTCATACCTCTTCAGTCTAGGTTTTGCAGCAATGTATACCTGCTGGGTTTGTTGGGATATTTTTGGTACAGAATGTAACTGTCCTCAGACAGTTTCTGCCCTTTCTGTTAGTCCAAGGTAGGCGAGGAAGGAGTGTTTAGGTGAGGTGCCACCTAGAGGTGCAGTCTGAGGTCTGGGTGGATGGAATGTGAGATCAAAGTGGTTCTTGGGGAAAAACATTGTTAAGGGAATGAGATGGGCAAAATCAGAGTTCCAGTATTTATCAAAGCACAAAGAGGTGCCATTTATGGCCAAGGCCTTCACTCCCAAGTTTGGCTCTGCTCCACTGCTGTGTGCAGCTGACATGGCCACCGTTTGCAGAGCCTGGGAGGCAGACATGACTGAGAGGGGTGACAAGAGGTTCCTGGAGCTATTGACTGTTAGGAGAGGGCTGGCTTGCTTAGAGGTTGAATACTGGCCCTTCTTCTCTTCTTCGGGGCAGTCCCCATTCTGGTGCTTCTTCACATGGCGGCTGAAGACAAAAGGGTGGGTGGTCTTGAACAGGCACTCATCACAGCTGAAAGTCTGGCGTGGAGCATGCTTCAGTTTCTTGTGTAAGTTGAGATTGTCTTTGCGTTTGCAGCTGTAGCTACACTGGTCACAGTGAAAAGGGCGCTCCCCAGTATGGACACGCACATGCTCTATCAGCTTGTTGGCTGTCTTTGAAAGATAGCCACACTGGTCACATTTGTAATGGTTACCAAGACGATGTTCCCGGATGTGCATTTCTAGCTCCAGCTGATTTGCTTTCACTATCTGGCAGATCCGACACTTGTACTCCATCTTGTAGTGGGTCTTCAGGTGGCATTCCATTGCTGCAGGGCGATTTGTGGAGTAAATGCAGAATGGGCACCTATCAAAAGAACAAAACCCAAGAAAAGACAGACAGTCAGTTCTCAATAGAATTTTTTCCACTCTTTTCTACGCATTGACATTCTTGATTTAGCTTCTCATTCAATCTATTTGAGTCTAAATACAGGGCAAACAAAATTATTTTTCAGTTCATTTTAGTATATTTTGCTCTTCTTAGCCTATGCCTCTAGAATAAAAATGTATGAGCAGGATGATTTACTACAGCAGGGCTAACTTAATCCTAGGAAAACATTGATTCATCCCACAAAAGTGCATGTCTAATCTTACTTCATCTCTTAATGGAAAGGGAGTTTGTGCAGAAATGTACGAGTGTCCACTTGTGTAAAGTAAGAATAAACTTGCCATGCACGAAACCAAACACATACAGAAAGAGAATGTCGGGAATTCCTTTCAAATAGCTTTCAAGGATAAACTGACAGTGTACCAAACGAAAGAACAGAAAGTTGGTTTGTTAGTGGGAAGTTCAGTCAGTACCTACTCTGTTTACCAGACAAACGAAAAGGTAACTTACTAGTAACTGTAGTTTTTTTTCAAGTAGATTGTACTGATCCCCACTCCTGGCATTGAAGACAAAACTGAATAGAGAACACACTGAAGTCAGTAACTACTGGCACCAAGCGTATGCCCCCTTGTGAAACTGAATGCCACAGCTCCTCTTCCTTCCACTTACTCAAAATCTTTGATAAAAGGACTAAAAAGAAGTGGGGTGGAAGGTGGGTCTATACAATCTATGCAAAGAAATACAATTTCTGGTAAGTAAGCTTTCTCATTTGCTTACTGTCTGTAGAGATAGTCATTTCTGGGAAATTAATTAGCAGCACTAACTCAAAAGAGATGGGTAAAAGTGGCTGGCAGTGTTTGCCTGAAATACTCCTCCTTGTTGGCAGGTCTTGATACTGCTGGGGAAAATTGAGTGGGTTCTGCTGACTCATTGAAGCAAGTGACTCATTAGTCCACCTGGATATTAGAGAGGTGGTGGTGGTTCACTATAAAGGGAGGATCTAGGTTGTGGGTTGAGTAGTCAGGAGAGAGGAACCCTGAGGAGCAACCCTATGTGGCTGAAGGTTGGTTTAAACATTGCGATAGTTAATTTCTTCATCAATAAAACCAAACCAAAGAAAGTGGGTGAGGTTTGACTCTATTTAGCATGTGTACTGTATTTGAGAGGAGGCTGGAGAAGGCAGCTGTTTGCAGTGGCTCTGAAGTATATTAATTAAATAAAGATTGCAGAACTGTTCTCCCAAACTTGTCTTAGATCTACCTGCCAAGCTAAAAAGAGTAATGCTAAGTAAAAGTATGACTAGAGCTCCAGGTAGCAGCCTTACAGACACACAGAAAATGTATTCCAGTTACAACAATCTCTGAGCAGATATCATCTCTCCCATAGACTTGTTAAATCTACAATAAAAAATCTAGGAGGCATACACAAGTTTAATTTTATCTAACCAAGTCACTTTTAAACATAGGGAGGAAGATGACTACTAACAAAAGGACAGATGGATAGTAGTAGCAACCAATCAATATTCTTGGTCCATAAAAATATGCTGATCCAAAAAAGCAGCCTTGCAATGACGATGCCAAAGCAATTAACTGTACTAGAACCAAGGATTCTGATGTCAAGGCAGCACTCATACTTACCTCTCTTGGTGCTGACTCCTCTTTGGATCAGAATCTTAAGATTTCTTTCTGGATAAAAACTGGAGGAATAATGGTTTTCCTCATATTTCGCTCCATCCTCGGTGTTGAACAGGAAGCAGAAAAGTACAAACTTATCTGATATTTAGATCTCTTTGGGTTTCTGGAATGCCTTCAGAACATAGCTTTTTATCAGATTCAGCTCTCAACTTGCCTCTACATTGTGTAACTGAAGAAGGACAAGGAGATAACTTAGCTGGACTGCCAGAGCTAGCCTGATGTATGCAGTATGTAGCTTGTCTCTCTCGCTATCAGAAGTTGGTCCAATAAAAGATATTACCTCGCCCACCTCATATGTCAGAGCTAACCTGAGAAACCTTCAAAGCTCCTTACATCAGGAACCCTTGAGTCAAGATTCACGGTCTTTCCTGGCACAGAGAATAGATTCAGCATAGATTACACCCAGGGACAAAAGGCAACTGGTATGTGCATCCGAGACAGATGTCTTGTTCTTGCAAGATGCATACTGTCTAAAGCTGGTTTTCTTCCCAGATTCAGTCATCACATCAGAATCAAATACAGACCCCTGACTGATGGAACTATTGAGCTTGATACAAGAGTTTGATTGGCAGATGGAACCAATCCACCAAAATGCGCAATGCACAGATTTAGCTAAACTAAAAATTTTATACCTTACTGCTAATGAAAACTAAACCAGAAAAGTATTAATGTAACATTTACAATACACTAACATTAATCTGGTCAACAAATACAACAAAAGGAGGGATGCAGGGAGTGCTGGTGTGTTGAACCTTACTCACGGTTGAAACAGTTCTAACCTTATTGCATGAAGTGGTTGGAACAAACAGAGGAATGGGACGTGAGTCCTTATATAACATCACATTGAATGTTTAGCTCCAGGAGGGATGATGTATGCATACCCAACAGTCACTGCTTGCCTGAGCGTTCCAACTTTGACACAAAGGCTCATGTGCACTCTAGAAATAGGGGTCTATACAGACAATTCTCAAAGGACAACGCTTATTTCTTAAAACTAATGAAGCTTTCTTAAAAGGAAGATTGGTAAAAGGAACAGACAAGTTGCAATTTAATGCAGTAACCCATGCCCAACTCAAGACACACCTACCTAAATTTGTACTTTTCCTGGACAATTCTGAAACTCTTTCAATGTCCTCAGCTATGCACAAAAATTGTATTATCTACATTATGAACAGGAAATACAGCACAAGTAGTTCCATCAGAGAAAAGTAATTTAGACATTTACAGTCTGTTACATTGTAAGGACATTTCTGTGACCACTGCTTGGTCTCTCAATTCCAGCTCAGGCAAAGACAAAGTTTTTTTCTGACTCATTACCAATATCTTTTCAAGCAAGTTAATCCACTTAAATGGTTAAAGAAAATGCTGTATTAGCAGAGGATATCAGGATATTTTGAAAGTATATACTCGTTCATAAGCCGAATTTTTTTAGTAAAAAAGGGAAGCACCAGAGAAGGGGGTCAGCTTATGAGCGGGTATAGAGAGGGAGAGGTGGGACACAGCCCCTGGCCCCACAGAGGGAGCAAGGAGAGGCAGCACAGCCAGAAGGGAAGAGGCAGGGCCAGAGTCTCTCCGCTTCTGGCCACGTGCTCTCCCCCCAGCCTCCGAAGCAGCTGCAGCTGTCAGGCTGCAGCCGTGCCGCTCGGCCCACCCCCCAGAGCAGGCTGTAGCCGCGCCACCCAGCCTGCTGGAGCATGCTGCGGCCGTGCCACCCGGCCCAGCCTGCTGGAACATGCTGCAGCCGCGCTGCCCAGCCTGCCGGAACTGCTCCAGTCAGGCCAGAGACATCCTCCCCTGGCCCGCCCCAGATAAGGTGGGAAGGGATGGGATGGGAAGAGTGTGGGGGTCCCAGGCTAGGGGTGGGGTCATGTGGGGGGTAGTCACAGGGGTTACTCCCCTGACCCCCAGCTTCTCCTCCCCCCCAAAATTTCCCCACCAGTTGCTGTCCTGGCCCGTCTGGGTAAGCAGCTGGTGCGCCGGGACACTTTGTTTACTTAGGTTTACCTCCATGCCTGCAGATACTCGAGGTAAAAAAAACCAACTCGGCCCACCAGCGGCTTATCTTCATGGCCCGGGAGCCAAAGTTTGCTGACCCCTGAATTATAGGGTCGGCTTATGAACGGGTCATGAAAATTTTTCATTTGTACTTATCCATCTTGTGGGGGTCGGCTTATAAATGAACCGGCTTATGATCGAGTATATACGGTATTTGTTAGTGGTCATCTTATAATTTATAAATTAAATTATTAAAGCCTGTGACTAGCCTATAATTTAAAAACAATATTGTAATGTAAGAAATGACTGAGGGAACATGTATACAAACGTACAGCTAAACTACCTCCTTCCTTGTTACATTTACAGATTCTGTATTTTTGCAACAGAGAACACAAAATTAATAATATGAAACAAAAAGTACTGACACATCAATGTATTCAATACTCATGCAGCTAGAGAGGACAACAAAAATTACCCAAAACTGAAAAGATACTTGGAGAGGGGAAAAAACCAAACCAAAACACTGGAGAATATCTGCGTCTGTTATTCACATGCATTTGTAATAAGGACATTTCTTCAGGTCTTAATAGGGAAAAAAACTGGGGCTCTGTGTATTCACTATAAGAACATCACTTCTTCCCACTCCCCAAAAAAACTTTTAAAAAGGAACAAAAATTAGGGATACAAAGTCTTGTGATACAAAAATCTTTTCCACTTTGAAAACAAAAACGTGCATGATTACTGGTGAAGATTGCCTTTGCATTAGGAACTGAAAAAGGCTGTAAATAATTGGGAAAGTTAGAATGACTTTATACTTTGTTACATAAACAAAAGCTTGCAGACTGTATCTGAGCTAGCGTCAGGGTAAAAACTGCTCAGCCTTTGGTTTTTATATTATTTTTCTTTTTCACTTTTCCTTTGAAAGGCAGGCTGCAAACTAAGTGGAATAATTTTGTCATCCATTACATCTGTGGCATCCACTGACCACTGCTTTCAAACCCAGTGGTTGGTTCTAAACTATCCTTTGCCATGATACCTACAATACACTTGGCAACAATTAGGCTGCTGGTGTGTGAGACCACAGCCTACCATCATGTCCAACACTATTTCATTGTTTCCTTGTACTCCTCTGTCTGACTTGTCTTTCTCCAGTTGTCTCATGTCTCATATTTAGATTGTAAGCTCTGGGGCAGGGACTGTGTTTGTACAATGCCTACCACATTGGGGTCCTGGTCCATGACTAGGGCTTTTAGGCACTATGGTAACACACATAATAAATAAATACATAAATAAATAATAATAATAATAATAATAATAATAATATAAATAAACTACATTCAACCTAGAGGGCTGGGGCTATGTTACCCAATTAAAGATAAAAATGGTAGCCCTGACTTTGGATCATCAGACATTAACTAACCCCTTCTAATTTACTTCCTTTATTACCTATCCCCACCCAGTATTGGAGATGCTTAACACAGTAAAAGTTTGTGTACTTGCTTTCCTTACTTGAGCCCACCGGTGGGGACAGTGTGGCATTTCTTGTGCTCCAATAATTGCTCAGGTGTCTTCATGAACTTATGGCACACGTCACACTCAAACATCCGTGTAATCAGGTGGATTTGCAAATGGCGCTCAAACATGTTTTTTGTTTTGCAGACAAAGTTACAGAAAACACATTCAAAACCTGAAAAATGAAAATACGGACACATATTACCCAAGTTCCATCCAGTTCCCTTGCTTAGAAGAAAGGAGTCTGTCTGTTTAACCAGATTTTACCTTTCTCTGATTTCTCTTCAGTGTTCAATAAGGTCTGGCTACCAGGCACTACGGAAATTACTAGTAGGTTGTTTGAACCCTTGTTTTTTTGGGTAACATCTGCATCTTCTTTGCTATTGGCAGAATCACTAAGTGCTGACAGAGAAGATGAAGAAGGGCTGTTTGATTCACTGGGTGTCTTCCGCTCTTCACCTGAAAAACAAGAATAAAGTCCACTTGCTCATCAGTATAAGGGGAAAAACTCAACCTCTGTGAGAGATTTCCAGTTATCCTATCCTATGTATTCATAGTTTCAAAAAAAAAAAAAAAAAAAAAAAAGACGTGTTAAAAAGAGAAGCAAAGTTATTTTGAACTCACAGGTGAGCTTGTTTAGTATAAATCAATTTGTTCTTAAGCATCATGGCTACATTGCCTCCCTTCTGCAGGGTGCCTACATATTCAGATAAGCACCTAGTGGGATTTCCAGAAGTGCTTAGGTGTCTTACTCCCATTGATTTCATCTTCATCTTTAGGTGCCTAAATATCTGTAAAAATCCGGTCCTCTCTGCTTAGGTGCTAGTGCACTTAAAACTAAAAGTACCATTGTCATCTACTACATAGCACAACAAACTACATTTGAGATAAATCTGCCTTGTTTACGGCTGTGTAATAGTTTGTGTTACAAAGATGGAGTTTATAGAAGACTTCCATGTGCTGGATGCATGAAGTTAGTAGTCTTCTCTTAAGGACTGGTTATCATTAGAATCTTTTAACGAGGAAAAACTAATTTTAAGAAAAAGCAAACACACACACACAGACTTCACCCAACTGGATATAGAGTTCAAATCAGTCAGGGATTTCATGTGTGTACAATAAGCACATAACATTCCAGGGAGTGCCAATTCAGAACTGTAATACATGTTAGCTACGTATGGAGATTAGGTTGTCTAGATGTTATAGCATTGGACTGGGAGCAAAGAGGATTTGGGTAATAATCTGCAATGAACCTTATTTGGCAATAGGCAAATTATTGGATCCGTCTTTGCCTCAGTCTAATTAGTTGCATAAAAAGGAGAACCTAACTAAAAATCCTAATCCTATGTATGTGACAAGATTTCTTAACTAAAGTCTATATCCTGCAAACAGTAATGGACAGGCTTAACTCTAAACAGATGAGTAGTTTCATTAAGTCAAAGTTAGGTTAAATATGAGGATAAGAGTTTGCTCAATCAGCAGCTAAATAGCTGAATTCAATATGATGAATGGAAAATATTTTTTAAGATAAAGAGTCATCAGAAGACAACAAAATACACAGAAATAATTGTAAAACTGGATTTGATATCCAATTCTGAAATATTTAAAACAAAAAATCAAAGAACCAGACAGAAAAACTCATGGTTTGGTCCTGTCCAAAGTTTTATTCTTTGCCTTTTCAACCGCTTTATTATCTTTTATATATGTCTAAAACAAACTGTTCAATTTTCACCATTGTTTCTCTTAGGGATGAAATGGTGATTTCATTTAACTGGAAATCATGCTCAGAATAAAGCACATCTGTGTAAAATGAAGGCCTTCTTAACATCTGTGCCATGAGCATCACTTACTGAACCCAAAACAGAAAGTTCAAAGCACAATGACTCCATAAAGAAATGTGCTTCATTTTCACACAGAACAAAGACCTGCAGAATGCAGAGATGCCAAAGTCTGACTCTTGGATACGCACTCTTGAAACATAAATTACAGATGAGATCTGAAATTATTTTTTAAAACAGAGTACGTTAGAGAGGCCATCCTTAGGGTGTGAGTTTCCCCTGAAACCCTGCCACATTTAAATTCACTAGGAGACTCCTCTCCAGCTTTGCCCAGTACAGATTAAGTTTTCGATGAAATGCTGCAGTGATTGACCATAAAATACATAACTAAAAATAAGTACCTGTAACCAGTGTTTACAGAGAACAGTTAGAGATGCATATGGATGCATAAGGCAATTTCTGAGTTTGCAATTCTTAAGTTCCACAAAGGTTTGCAGAACACCAAGTTGGATTTGTTTTATGGGCTTCATTTTTAAAAATGGAAGCCCCTGGTTCTCATACAAAAATGCAAGTGTAATTTGTCACCTGCATATTGCAGAAATTATATGCACAACTTGGGCAAATATGCCAAAATGGCTAATTACCTACCTATCTATGTTTACCCGTACCCATTTGCACACTGGTCTTGGGCCTCAAGTTTTTAAAATATGGGTCCAAATGGCTACAGTATTATTGGAAACATAGAGGAAGTGGGGGAAGGAAGAAGTGAAAGAGCGAAAACTTGCTCTATGGGTCATTGATCTACTTAGAGAACAAAAATGTGTAAATGATATGAGCTTTTAACACAAAGACTACTGCATAGGATAACAGATAATTCCAGAAGGTACAGAAGCATATAAATCTCCAAAAAGTCTTTGCTGATGTCTAAATTGAGAATGCTGCACTCCTACCATTTATGACATCAGCAGTAAAGCCCAAGGAATAAATGCAGGCTTATATAGAAGAATAATGGATACAAGCAAAGTTACTTGTGCTTACCACATTCATATATTTTACATACAGCTTTTCAATATTTAACATTTTAAAAGTATATTTTTCAGCATTGGACACAGCACACTAGGAACTCATCTCCCACTAATTAATGAAGGTTTCACACATCACTTGTGTAGAGCTAAAACTGTACACCTTACGGGTTGTCTGGTCAGAACAGTGAGTGTTTGAAGGCACCTTCTTCGTCAACAATATATGTGCTTTCAGCATACTTTCAAGTCATAGTGTTTAATTTCACCGACAAAGGCTCCAATCCTTAAGACACTAGAATGGGACTCAGCAGATCTGGATTCAATTCCCAGCTCTGCTACAGACTTTCCATGTGACCTTGGATGACAATCTCCATTTGCCTCATCTGTAAAAGGGGGATAATTATAAGGGTTTTGTGAGGATAAATTCATAATGTTTGTGAGGTGTTCAGATATTATGGAGATGGGAATCATATCAGTACTTTGCACCAGCACAGAACCCTCTGTGGACTTTCACTGACTTCATATTTCTGTAGCTGCATTAAGTGCATCTATTTGCAAGTTGAGGGGGGAAAATCCAATTTTATTCCTCGTAGAACTGCAAAAGCAATACAGTGATGGAAGAGACAGCTGAATTTAATTCTCCCTAATATAACTGTCTACAAAATTGTCAGCTAGTTTCTGATGACAAAATCCTTATGACGGGTGATACTTAGAGAGAAATTAAGAGTATTCTAATTTTCCCCTCCTTACATTATGCCAGGCTTCATTAGTTGGAATAAATATATGTGGTTTATTTGAAAATTGTCATTAATCAGAGGTAATGTAGAAGTTCTTTTCTTCTGCTGGTAAGTGAATAGAACCAGAGAAACACAGAAGTCAAAAATCACGACCTGTTTAACTATTTAAAATGATGTTGGGACAGTAAAACAACAGCTGCATTAGTTTAGTTACTGAATCAGAGCTCTAGCAACAAAGTTTCCAGACATACAGACTGGGGAGGGGGGAACAAACTCCAAATATTGGCACAACTCAGTACAATTTTAGTATATTACACCCTTGCAATCTGGGGCATGTAGTTAACACCCAGAAATCACCATACAGCTACTGAAGTCAAATTACATTTTAATAAACCAGTAAACAAATAAATAGTAAGTAAACCAATAACTTGTGATTTTGACAACTTTAACTTCATAGAAGTCCTTTATTTATGCCCCCTGACTGCAAAGTGATCTCCCCAAGCAGACTTCTTACCTGGTGGGGATCAACTGACTTCAACTTTGTGGGGTCATGACCATAATTAGTAAGAATTTCAGCGGAGGAAAGGAGTGTTGATAGGAAGTGTGAATGATTGCAGTGAAAAATGGGGTGGGGAGAAGAGAGATCACAGGAGCAGAAAGTGTTGGATCGTCACCTGTGTGCTTGGTGCTGACATGAGCCTTCATATCTGACTCTTCCATGGTGACAAAATCGCAGGCTGTGCAGCAAATAGAAAACATCCACTGCTCTTTATCCACGTGAAGGGACATATGACTGACAAACTGGACATTCATCTCTGTCTCAAATCCACATACGTGACAGCTGCAGACAGAAGGAGATTAAAGAGAAAAAGAGTAAGAAACATTAAAAAAAATCCCCATAACAAATGTACAAAGCTTCTACTCGTTTTCATAAGAAAACTCTTGCTTCACTAATCTCTTCTCTACTGTTGAATTTTCAATGGGAAATTCTTTTGCCGGCTGAACTGCCTCTGAACCGAGGACCCTGCCAACCTGATTAAAGGGAGGCCCAATGCCACAATCCCAAACATGCTATAATGATGCTAAATAATCGTAAAGTTAATTAAAAACTACGGATTCCAGATGCTGCACATCACCTAGCTGAATCCTTTGGGCAATAAGATGCGCTGCAGTCTTGCCAAGATGTTTAGGAGGGCTGGTACACTGACAAACAGAGCTTGCTGCAGTCTCCAGGAGCCATTCTCAAGCCCTGGAAACAGTCCCATGTCAGATCAGGATCTCCTGCAGAACTGCCTGACTTTCTGAGTACAAGCAAGCAAAAATGGGTTCAGGGATTCCTTCTACTTGACTGGACAAAAGCAATTACCACCTATGCAAATAATCAGCACTGATGCAAATTTTACAACCATCAGATAACAACAATGATGTTCAGAGGTAATAGAAAGGAACTTATAGTTTAACTTTCTTTACTGTCTTCCTCTTGTTTTAATTAAGGCATTAACATTTTAAACAAAGCCAGAACACTGAAAACAGTCTTGTACTTGCAGAGGGATGGATGAGATAATCTAACAGGGCTTGTGTATTTCTGATTTCTATGACTGTAATTAAATCTGTTAATTTAGATTGAAATAAGTTTGATTTTGCAATCCATATGTACACTAGGGTTCATATCAAAGCTTGAAGAACATGTGATAGTGCTTAAATCAATAATAAATGCCTGAGCAACACAATTGTATCTGTACCATTCTTTTATCATCATGAGTTTTCCTAATGCTCCTATTCTCACCTTCATAACTTTGGCCTTCTTTATTATACGGAAACATTCTTTCACAGGTAGTTGAATTATAAAACATACCTGCCTAAGGCAATCAAAGAGATAAATCAAATAGAGGAAATGTTTATATTTATTACAGAAATTTTAGTTGAAATGATTGAACTAACTGCATCAAGTGGAAGGCACTATAAATTACCGCAAATGTGTTTACACACTAGTAAATTCACATACGTAAAAGGGAACTTATTAGATGTATGTTGAACATGTGGTAAAAGTTCTTGAGGTATTTAAAGGCCTATCTGCCTTTCAAAGCCATTTAAAAAGTGCACAGTCTTTCAAAGTGCCTCGCAAGGCTCGGAAGCATGACATAACCAGCTGGGTTTTGTTGCTGAACCTAAAGTCAAATGTGGCTAAGCCAAATACTTCAGTCACGTTCTACCTTAGAACAAAAAAGGATCATCCTCATAATTTGTCTTTAGCAAGCAGACAGGCATATCAGACATTTGGATTCTGGTCTCTCGTGTATGGCCCTCTACTGGGTCCTCACCTGTAATAATAAGGATGCTTCTTTCCACTGCCTTCAGAAGTGACAGCGCTGACAATGTCCTCAGTGTCTGTACTCACTAACTTCACAGAATGGACAGTCAGGTGCTGGTTCAGATTAGCACGGCACTTAGCAGCATAGGGGCACAAATGGCATTTGTATTTTCTCTCTTCTGAAAAACAAACAAATCATCTCGAGTGTGTGTATCAGTCTTAAGTGAGATATTTTAAAAACCTCATTTCAAATATGCAACTACATATTGCTTGGGTTAAAAAGTCTGAACAGCTGTTAGAATCATCCAGGCTGACACATTTAGGAGATTAGAAAAAAGTTATCAGGCTTCACAATAGTAATTTATATAAATGACTCATTTTCAGCTAATTTAAGGGTATTTTTGAAATTTGGTCTAAAGATTGTATGAAGTTTAATACAAAACTTTTTATGCTGTGGAAAACTGGTGTAACTGCAGCTCTGAGAATTGCCCCTCAGCCACTATAGATTCAGGTCAGTAATGTGCAACTCATTTCTTCACCTGGCACTTTTTTTTTTTTCTGTAGGGTTGAAGTTCTTGAAGGTGGTTGTGTGCATATTACCTGTCTTTCTACCTATGGAGTTTGATGCTTATTTACCAAAACTTGGAGAAAAGCATCTGTATAGGTAGTCGAGTTCGGAACACAAGTTAGCCAAACCCCCTCAAAGAACAATAAAACAAAATCCAAACCAAACTCCTCAGCAGTTTCTGATGCTTCACAATTTTTAAATTAACATCTCTAAATCTTGGCGACAAAGTCATCACACACAGCAGGTCTTATTTTGTATTTACTTGATTAAAAAAAACCAACCAAACATTAAATTGCCTTTAAAACCTTTCCTCTAAGAAAAGCTGCTTCACTTTTGGAATACAATAATACAATGTGCAAGCACTAACAGAGAGAAATTCAGAATCTGAATAAGACAAAAAATCACAAAACCACAGAAAACACCATGTGGGGGTTTTCTAGCATGGCCATACTAAATGGTTCTATATATACCAGCATTATGCTAACAATATTTTTCAGCACTATGTCTGACATTCTTGCTTCCTAATCTTATTAATCTGTGCATTGCATCTCAACACATTTGTCCTTTGGCCTGAGCTTGAGACATTCTCCCTAAAAAGCATGCACTATACACTGGCTGCAACATCTGGTTAGACAAATCCTCTGTATAAAACTAGTGGAAATAGAGTCAGATCCTCAGCTGATTTTAATAGCTCTAGCTCCACTGACTTTATGGAAAAAGGTGTTGTAGAAAAGAGTCATCCTCTACTCCCTTCACTTGAGCTAAAAGTTCATAAAGGTGAACATCCCAGAGGCTAACTAATATTTGAAACACTATGGGCTGTCTCCTCTGCTGGTCACTAATGTTTAAAGAGCCTGTCATATAAACAAAAACAAAACAAAATACAACTTTCCTCCTCTCTTTAGAGCCCTGTTTACAGGCTTGCTTAATTGGTGGTAACCAAAAGGTAGTTTGATATTGTGAGAACCTGGCAACTGGACAAATTCCCATTTGACCGTTTGTTTTCTAAAATGGATGATGGTTGGGCCATAATGAGTTAGGTTAGCTCCTTGAATTTTTAGCCCAGTTCTACTTGTCTTCATCCCAAGTGAAGGGAACAGAGGACGTCTCTTTCCACAAAATTGTGTTTCCTTGCAGTGAATCTTGCCTCATGTTCTTCTTGCAACAAACTTGCATGACACTGTAAATGAGAACGCCAAAGTGTTTGATTTACCTGTGTGCAGTGAGAGATGTCGGGACAATGTCTGCTGTCGGCCAAACACTTTTCCACACACGTCACAGGGAAAGAGCTGGTCATTAAATTTCCAAGATGGCAATCCGTTTCCTGCATCCAGCCCTATCCTTTCTGTGTCTATACCAAAAATGCATAAATACAAAGTCTTATTTTAACAACTTAAAGAACTCTTAGATTTCACTCTATGGACTACTTTCATGTGTCATGTAAAAGACAACTCTCTTAACCCTACATTGCTGTTCATGGCACATGAGTTCACATGAACTCTGAAGCAGAGATTAATTTAATCTGTAACCTAAACTGCAAATATTCCTCTGTTCCACAGTCCATAGCAATTTGAGTTTCTGATACAAAATCCCAAAGCAGGGCTTGCACAGAACCAGAACATCCTTGTGGACCCTGGCAGAACACAAGAAAAGCAATGTTACAGATGACTATAAAAGAATAGTATAGACAGGTAGTAATAATCTGATAAAATCTCAAATCCATCATAAAACTAAGAAAACAAAAAGGCAACAAAAGATGCATTTTTGTTTTGTTTTTATCCCTACAAAGTCAATAAACTGGCTGCTATACAGACTATCCTAAGGTAACTGAGGCTCCACCACACCAGTGTTACTCCTCTCAGCTACTATACAAGGAATTTCACAACACAATATGTACTGTAATTTTCCCCCCATCAAAAGCCTACTGTAGCTCTGACTATTTTATATGGCATCTTTCCAACAAACTGTATTGCAGAACACTTTAGAGTTACTATAAAGTTGAAGATGCAAACCATAAACAGTAGAGGAAGAGGTACAGGCAAGAGAGAGCAGAGAAAAGCACTGTAATTCTGTTTTTCTAAATAGATCATTTCACTGGCCTTTTCACTTCCCCTCAGTGTTTGAGGGGTCTCTCCTTTGAGGCGTTGGTAAGTTTTACCCTAATTTTTATTATTCACTTTCTCAGGCAATGTTTTCAAACATTTTCATTTTTTATTCGCTTACTTCTTTGGGGAACTTTTGACAACTGATCAGTTCAAAACTGATTGCAATGTTGCAAAGGCAGCAGCTAAACTAAGAGAGCAAAGCATGATCATCAGCTGATGAAGGTTGAATTGTGTTCCAACCTGCTCCCAGGGCCCTTAGGGATCAAAAACTTTCAACAGCTTGGGGAGTTCTGCTTGTCTTGCACTAAGAAGCTAAGGACCAGGAGTGAACCATCTTTAGAGAAGAGGGAGTTTTAACTACTTTAAGACTAGATGGAATCTCCATCAGTGAAAGTCTGTTCCAGATGACAGAAAATGGAGAGGTGAAGGCTCTCATACCACCAGACTGAGGGAAGGGATAGAGAAAAGGGCAGTGTTAGATCCTAGGCAATGAGGGGGAGTAGAAAGAGATAATGTTCACAAGATAAGTTAGAGCAGCAAGGCTATAGAGAGCAATTTTGAACTGGATCCTGAAACAAATGGAGAGCCAGTGAAGTTTGAGGACAGTGGTGATGCCATCTTGCTTCTTCATACCAGGGTTGCCAGGCGTCCGGTTTTCGACCGGAATGCCCAGTTGAAAAGGGACCCTGACAGCTCCGGTCAGCACCACTGACCGGGCTATTAAAAGTCCGGTTGGCAGCACAGCGGGGCTAAGACAGGCTCCCTGCCTGCTGTGGCTTTGTATGGCTCCCGGAAGCAGCGGCATGTCTCTCCTCCAGCTCCTACGCGTAGGGGCAGTCGTGGAGGTTCCGCATGCTGCTCTCACCCCAAACACCAGCTCTGCTGCTCTCATTGGCCAGGAACCACAGCCAATGGGAGCTGCAGGGGCGGTGCCTGTCGACAGGGCAGCACGCAGAGCCACCTGGCTGCACCTCCGTATAGGAGCCGGAGTGGGGACATGCCGCTGCTTCCAGGAGCTGCTTCAGGTAAGTGCTGCCCGGATCCTGACCCCCTCCCACACCACACCCCCTGCCCCAGCCCTGATCTCCCTCCCACCCTCCAAACCCCTCGGTTCCAACCCAGAGCACTCTCCTACATCCCATACCCTTCATCCCCAGCCCCACCCAGAGTCTGCACCCCCCGCCACAGCCCTCACACCCAGTTCCCTGACCCAGCCCAGAGCCCCTTCCCACACTCTGAAGCCCTCATTTCTGGTCCCACCCCGGAACCCACACCACCAGCCCAGAGCCCATACCCTCTCCCACACTCCAGCCCCCAAGTCAGCCCGGTGAAAATGAGCGAGTGAGTGAGGGTGGATGGAGTGAGTGGGGGGCAGAGCTTCGGATAAGGGGCGGGACAATGGTGTTCCCTTTTGTGAGAGTAGAAAGTTGGCAACCCCACTTCGTACATGTCAGAAGCTGAACATCAGCATGCTATGGCAGAGGAGACGCTTTTACACAATACCTCATTAAGCTTGAGCAGGAGGACTTCTACACTTAGAAGTACACAAGATCAAAGAAGGAAAATTTATTGGGTAATGTATTCGGTAATATTTTGTTTGTTTTGTTTAAGGGCCATCATTTCCAGTCAGGGTCCCCTTGACTAAAAGGCCAAGATTCAGTGGGACTTTCTCCTCTATTCTACACCATCTATGGGATTCTGGATGTACCATGTGAATAGCTAACACGTCAAGGACTATAGAACCGGTGTGTGTTTATTTAGAGCAATAGAGGAAATCTGGATTGGGATTTCCTGTTAAACGGGTGCAGGGGGAGGAAAATACAGTATGACTCACCCAGGAGCTGAGGTGAGGCACAAAGGCTGAGAGACTGTAATGTCCTGTAGGGCTCAAGTTATCACTGCAGGTCCCTGTCTGCACAAAGCAATGAGGCACTGAACCATGAACAGTAAACATCACACTAGCACTGGTGATGCTCCCATGAACCAGGACTCCCTGCAGTTGCAGGTTTGGCCTCCTTGTCTGTGCTAATTCTGCTTCCGTTTATAGAATAGAGCTGGCTGGGCAGCTTTTCAGTTGAATGAAAAATTAATTCCAATACTTGACAAGTTAAGTAATAACAGAAAGGCTCTCTATTTGGGAGGGGGGAATTTATGTAGTTATTATAGCATGTTCTATTGGAGGTCACACCTGTCAGCACCACCACAGCTACATGTTGTTGGTTTGGGGTTTTTTTTTGTTTTTGTTTTGGCTGTGATACCATATCTATTGGTACAACAGGGACTTGACATTTGATAGAGACCTTTGGATGCCACTATAATATAAATAAATAATAATAATAACAATTTTTTCTAGCGAGATGACTTATACATCTGTGAAATCAGTCATTTTGTAAAAATTAATATGAAAAAGAATGCAGACCATATATGTCACAACTTCCAAGAACATCAATAAACAACAACTCATTTGATTATATTCTTGAGCTCAAAACAATGAACATTTTGACTGCAGCAATGCTATGGATATTTCAGTAGAGCTTTCAGAGTACATAATTAAAACAGTGCTTCAAAGGGGGAATATGGTCATAATTATAAGAAAAGGTCAAGAGTGTGCAGGTTTCTTCAATAGCGTCACAACAAAAATGAATTAATTGGGACACATACTAAACAAGCAGACTCAAATAGAAGTAAATACATCACTTAACAATTCCTTCCAGTATTAGTCATTGGCCTTCTTTTATCTCTCAAGAAGCTGAAATACAATATCCTGTTCCCTATGCTGGATTTATATCTATCAGAGTTGTAGGAAACTCATAGAAAGCTTGAAAAAAATATCCATTTTCAGATTATCCAGAGCTGTTAAAAACTAGTTCCATTATGTAGAATAGGATACTTTTGATGCTTTTAATTATTTAGTTTTATTTTAAAACTGTACTGCTGGGTTGCAACCTTCAGTGATTTTTCTCCAGTAGTTGCTGAATCACTTTCCTGGCTAGGATACTGCAAAGTATTCTAGTCAGCGTGCCCCCTACTTTAGCTATCATGACCAAAGTAAGCATCTGGTGCAATGAGGTGCTGACCACCTCCCACAAGGTTCTTTGAGCTCTTCACTCTCATAGAAATCAATCACTTTGAGTGATTTCATGCTGTGAAAGGACACTATTTGTCATCCATGGTAACCAAAGCTCTTTGTCCAAAGAACAGGTACAGCAAACTTTCCCACACCCATCCTGTAATTTACCTCACCAATGACCTGAAGAGTCACTTCTGGGGGTTAGTTGATAGTTCAGTCATCATATCTACTCAATTCTTGGTTCCTCTGTTGGGACGGCAAATAGGGGTGCTGATTAGTACCAGTTGTGATGGTGATTTTTCTGAGGTGGGTACGTATTTACCAACTCAGATACCACAGTATTATGGTAGATAGCTTACAAATACTTTAGACGGAGGATCATTCAGTCAGACAGGAAGGAACTGGATTGATACCAACTGATGTTGCGTAATAAATCACCATTAAATGGAAGGCTTCCCACAGAAATCCATCCTTTATCAAGTTTTGTGCTACAAACTGTTCCTTCACTAAACACCAAAAGAGATTTTTTTCCCACATTGTGTACAAAATACTGATAATGTACTATAGATAGGGAGAAAGACAGGCTCATCTGTTGATTGAAAAGGTACTGTAGACACTGGGTGAGTAAAGAACCTGATCTAACAGGCATTTTTCTTTTGCAATTTCTTTGAATCCATAATTGTTTTGTATGCCAAGAAATCCTTACCTTTTTTAAAATAGGTGAGCATGTTTGGTGCAAGATTTCTGATTTAAACCCATATTTAATAGCAAAAGTGCTGCTGGAAAAAGAGCAAAGTGAAAGGCAAATTTCAAAGCTTTTAAGTGAAAATAGAACGTATGTAAAATACTGATGTTCCCAAATCAGAATATACTGTTATGTGTAGACTTAAGAGTTAAAAATGTTTTAAAACAAAGTACTCTTGGTGAAATGCAAGGTCTCTAAGTGCTACTGGAATGCATAATTTTAAAAAGTAATAATATAGAGTTCTGAACTCATGGATTTAAAATGGTTTTGAAATGTAAATGTATGGAATTAAGACTACACACTGTGTACCACATTAAAGAATTAATGTGTTACTTAAAAAAGCTGAATTTGACTCTTCAATAAATTTATTGATTAAAAAAAGTAGTAAAATTTGTTAGCAACGTTTCTGTCCTTTATGCTACACCCAGATGTCATTTTGCCACCAATCCTAGTAATTTCATATTGACAAGCAGTGTAAGGCTGATGGTCTGAAAAAGGGCTAGAGGAAGGTGGGAGAAAGCCGAAGTCAGTATTATAACTGCAAAAATTTGCCCCATTATACTGAATATTTCATGTCAATTCAATGGATGTTTCATGTATATTGGCAAGTTTGGTTTTGTATCCTCAAATTAGTGACATCAGTATGGATAGCATATTCCACCATCCCTTATAAAAAGCCTTTAATCTGACTTTTGCTTGAGAAATGCTGGGAGAGGATGCTTTATTTGGTTGAAGGTAAAAACAAAGAAGAGAACGAAGTGTGACCTGAGTACATAAATAACTGTCCAGATTCACTAAATCAGCATTGTACATCACTGCTGGTAGTTCCCAAAAGGGAATGTTCCGACTCTGGGTTTAGACTATGAGTCACGATAGTTTGATTATTTTCTTTATCGCTTTATTTAGCTGTTTTTACATTATTGCTTCACAATGTTTTAACTGTATTGTATTTTAAGCTATCATATAGCATCAGGATTACCTTGATGGGGGAGACAGTGAGAATGCGTTATAAATAAAATTATTATAAAAGAATAAAGCTATAGGTCACCAAAAAAAAAAAAAAATGAAAAAAAAATCACATGAAGGAGAAATTAATGTTTATACTTTTGGTTGTTTCACTAGCTATACCATCTCTCATCCTATAACCCACATAAATTGCTGCTTCAATGGGTTCCATTTCAAACCTCCACACAGTCACAAGTAATCAAAGATTCCCTGTTCTACAAGCAGTGGTCCTAGCGGTGCAAAGCAATCTGCATGGGCAGATCCTTATGTCCATGTGGAGTCCCACTTGAATGAATTATAAGGATTTTCCTGTGCTACAAACACCCCCTGAAAAGGTTGAAATTAAAGATGCTGATGAAGCCTAACAGGCGCTTTTAGCATTTACAATACCATCATTCCTCTGAAAATGTGTATCATTTTTTATATTTAAGAAGCATTTGGAGTTGTTGATGTAAGATTACAACTTCAGGATGGGATCCACACAAGCAGACTCACTCCACATGGTCAAGTGGAAGCCAGGACAGTGATTTTGAAGATGAGGTGAAGGTCAGAAAGAGAAAACTGTGATGGAGAGATCAGAGACAGAGCAGCGCTTAGTGAAAACAAGGTTGAGTGAGTGGCCATTTTGATCAGTTCTGGGTTGAAGGTTAAATGGGGAGGTGAGAGTACGTCAACATGGAAGCTGAAGTAACCAAGAATGAGACAGAGAGGGAGAGATGGATATCAAACTCTGAACAGAAGGCACAAAATGGAGGGGAAAGGGAAGGAAAAGATACTTTAAGAGAATGAGTAGGAAGTGGGGAGAAGATGGAAATGGCAGAAGTGGGGGAGAAGATCAACAGTAGAGCTATGCGAATAACAGATTTTTCAGTTCACTGGGAATTATGAAAAATTGAAGACATTTCATTGTGGGCCAAACAAAAAATATATTTTTTAAAATTTTCAGTGAAACAAATAATAAAAAAACACATTAAAACGTTGTTTTGAGTCGACCTAAAACAAAACGTTTCAATTTTTGAGACTTTTTTAACTTTCAATTTTATTTTTCAATAATTTTAAAGGAAATTTTGAAACAAAAAGTCATTTTGAATTGAAAACTCAAAATTCAGTTTAGAAAATGTTGAAACTAAAAGTTTAGATTTTTTTGGAAATGTTTTATCGTCTTTTTTTAAAACTAAAACAATTTGGCAAAATTGACACAAATTTGCCAAATGTTTTAGTGTCACCAAATCTGCGTTTTTCACCAAAAAAAGTTTTGGTCAAAATTTTTGGCCCAGATCTACTCAACACACCTATCACATTTCTTAGGGAACAACTCAGGGCAATGTGTGTGAAAGAGAAGCCACTTTGGGAGAAAGCAGCTGAAGAGGCAGTGTCAAATAGGATAACCAGGTTTCTGTGACTGCAAGGAGATAGAGGCCTGAAAACAGGTGTAGCACAGGTAGCTGCTGTGCAAGCTACCCATGCAAGTGTGATTCAACTCTGATCTGAAGGGCCACTTTAGATCAAGAACAAATATTTCACAGAGGTCACTTGAACAGCCATCAGATAACTTTTGGTTCCTTCAAGTGCCTCATATTTACCATTCAAAGAGGATAGAATACTCTGTACATAGTGTTGCATTTGTATCACCGAGGCTTGTACCACTCGAAAGCCTAGTTCTCTTTCTTTATTTTTTAAAGATGAAAAGTTTAATAAAAGTTTTATTCAGAAAAAAGTTGTTGTAATATTCAACCAGTCAAGCCAAAATTGCTTTAAAAACATGCATTTGGAAATTCTCCTCTCCACTCTTATCACTGCACTCAACTAAGATTGGGTCTCTGTTTTTATGCAGTGCCTCATTTGAGATTTTTTTTTGCTTTAGAAATTTCCACTTACATGCTCATCCATCTTTTGTGCCAATAGCACAGTACTTAAAAACTGACTAGAGAACTCCTTTCCTGAACTATGCAATTAAAGTACTACTGCAAATTTGGTCTCTCTAAGCCCACAAACCACTTACAAACTTAATAATATATTGACTGTATGAAGTTTCATCTTCTCCAAATACAATACATCTTACTCTCATTCCCCCACTCACTTTCAAAGTGATTCTACCTGCACTGCCAAAAGTTATGTTGCTAGTAATCCAGTTAAAATAAATTGTGGATTCTTTCCAGATATTGTAGTTCCTTTATAAAATATGCTTTCCTATTTACCTACTGTAATTGTGGACCTGGGTGAATGCTGTTTTCATTTATCATTGTCACTACCACACCGAACTATCTACT